ATGTACTCTGTCGAATGTTCAAGTTCTTACTAGAAATAGGTTACGCTGGTATATAAAAGAGGGGCCTGTAATGTGCGGATATAGATAGTGAGAAAATGATCTGCGGCCGGAGGATTAGTGACGTTCGTTGCTATATCGTTTGTTTAGCGCGATTGTTGAAGTTAAGTGTATCGGTTAAGTTATATTCGGAAAGAATAAACCAGTTTTATTAAGTAAAGGCTTGTGTCGCTTAAGTTTCGTCGGTACGAAGTTACGGAAAATCAATTAAAAAACGGAGACGTAACAATAGTGTCAAATTCTGTCACGTTGTGATCTATAACCTCATTGTGTATAACAAGTTTGATTATAACTGGGCAAGTTACATGGATTGTTCATCTTCTGGTGATCAAATGAACCTCTCTCTCTCTCTAAACGTAGGTGTGCAATTCTTGAGAAAAGAGAAGAGTGTTTGATGGCAATCGTTATTTTGTTTTTACTTCATTTCACTAGTTACAGTTCCATTGTAAGTACGTCAGTAGCTAATGTCAGCTGTGAGGCTTTCGAACGTTAACAGATGTTAGGCTCAGTCACTATCATGAGAGAATAAATGTTCGATCCATCATCAGAAGGGAAGAATATTTGACCAGACCACTCCATGATGGCCTTCCCTATGGGCAAGAAGTTCCGATGTTCGTGAAAATCCTTGTTTAAAAGAAGGTTTAGGCTGATTGTTACGTGGACTGCATCCGTCTTAGAAGTTTTTTGGTGACATTTCGAGTCGCTAATACAAATGTCCACTTGATTCTTCAAAGGTGTCTTTCCACATCCACCCTTGGGTAGATTAAACACATAAACTTATCATTTACGTTCCAGAAAATTATTGATTCCGCTTTCAAACGCAAGAGTTCTCTCATCAAGTGTGATAAACCCTCGTTCTTGTGTTTCCTTCTTATTTTTAATTATTTATTTATTTTTCAAATAACGACGACTATTTATCTTACTTACCTCTTGTATAGGAGTACTGCCATTACTAGAATGAAGGGAATGAATACTGGCTCCCTCTTGTGGTGATCCTGGCCCAGAATCCGATTTACTACTATTTCCGTCTATTGAAAGATGACAATAATCACTTCTCTAGTAAACACAACGATATGAAGAAGAATTGCATACACAAAAAAATCTTCCAATACACAAGACATAAAAATAGATCTCACAGGAAAGTTACAGCTAATGAATATATCGGTATTTCTAATTTTTAAACAATTAATGAATTCCAACATTATAATAACAATAATATCACGTACTAGATTAAAAAATAATTTATTCGCTTGGATTTTAAGTTTAGAACAATATACATTTTTATGAGGTTTTGCCAAAAATAAAAACAAGTATTTTAAACATCTTGTGTTATTGAAGCCATAATTAAACTTCCAAATTTATAATTCACTTGCAAAAGTGAAGCTATCATGCATCATCATCACACCCCACAGTGTTAGAAATTCTGACTACAATTACGAAAGACAACCAACCAATCAAGTTAATTTTGACATGCAGGCAACAAATAAAATCGAAGAATCCAACGGAAGAAATGATCATACTTGCAAGAAGTGGTCTTCTCTTCACGGGGATCGGCCCTTTGTCCTTACGTCTTAACAAGGGGCTACTGCGCCTGTCTAACACTTTCTGCTTCAACACAGATCGGACTTTAAGGTTTGGTTCGGACGCTAGGAGGACATAACGTAACATCACCAACCACGGGCTAATATACTAATCATTCCAGGCACTCACATACACATACACACTCGGCAATCAACTCTTTAGGCAGCTAACAATGCTTTTGTTAATATATTTAGTAAAAGATACTTAAACTGAGATCATGCAGTTAAAGAAATACACGTATGTTAATATCAGCATAAGATTGTCAAAGTTCTTGAAATAATTACATTACACAGTTCTGTGTATTTCAAGTATACATTGTAAAATCGGCAGATACATCCGTTGTGATCGTTAAGCTGATTAGACTTTATCACTTTCTTGAATTAAAGCGACCCCTAGTTTAAAAGGTTTAGGAAGAGAATACTAAAAAGCCTTAGCCTACAACAGCTTGTTTGCTGACGAAGTGTCGCTCTGCTAGCGTAGTTTCTGACTGGCCTGACAAAGACCGTTTACGGACGACGTTTCACTTTACTACATGGGCGTCCGCAGAAAATTTTCCGGGCGGGGCGGGGGGCGGCGGCAAAGTACTATGAAGCGAATACAAAATTCTTATACATATGCTGAATGAATAAAGAAAGAGTTATGTATCTCATTTTCCGGGGGGCAAGTTCCCCCCTTGCCCCCTCCTAGCGTAGTTTTTAACTGATCTAGTCAACAACGATTTGCTTCATATTAAACTTGTAAACCACAAAAAATTAATTTAAAAAGTTCTCTCAGATTTTACCTTTACAGATAAAAATATTGTCTGATTGTCTGTGACCGTTTCTTGAGACTAATTTTAAGGTCTATTTGTCACTTTTGAAAGTATGTTTGTTAGTTATTTGGTTAACTCGTTTGAATTCCATTCTTAATTATTACTACTAGTAATTTATAAACTTTTTTAATAACTGAACGATATCAAATTAAAGCACAGACTACTGCAACAATTTTGTTTAGATAATAAAAACATATGAATACAAATCCTAATTAACCTTAAAAATTATAACAATACTTTATCATTTTATTGTTAACATAGCACGTGTTTGCTTATATATATAATGTGTTGTTAGTATACACCAAGTTTGTTGGATATAACGTACTGTTATCGTAACACGTGTTTGTATATAAGGTGTTCGAACATCTTGTGTTTGTATATATCACAACACCAACAGTATCTGAGCCTTTTTTCTTTCAAAAATTAATGTTTCGCGTTTCTTTGAAAACTTTATGTCAGGGAACTATAAAACAACACTCGACAACAAGAAGACTTTCAGGTGTTCGTTTGATGTTAACTTTAGTTTGAAAGGACCCTTTTTGAATGAATAATATAACCACGATATGTTATAAACTGGGCCTGATGGTTAGGGGGCGCTTGACTCACAATCTGTGGGTTCGAATCCTCGTTGCCAAATATGCTCGCCCTTTCTGCCGTTATCATGTGACGGCCAATCCCACTATTCGTTGGTAAATGAGTAATCCAAGAGTTGGCAGTGGGTAGTTTTGACGGGCTGCCTTCCCTCTAGTCTTTCACTGCTAAATTATTTAAGGTTCCCCAACGGTTGTAAACGGCCTAGGGACTCAAAGAAAGAAAATGTTTCAAACAATATGAAAAAATTAACTAGTTTCTAGCTTTTCTTTTTAATACATAAATTACCGACTTGTTTTTATATTGTCCCCCTACCAGTGCATAGTTCCACGTGTTACATCATACTGAGAAATTGTAATTTTATACAAGCTGCGAAACACTCGATAGTGTCAATCAAGTGCTCAAATATGGCTATAACTCAACTTTAGCAGTCATATGTCAGCAACATAAAGTAATAGATTACGGCGGCCATTATTTTCTCAGCCCATCCCCACATACTAAGCACTACCGTGCTTAGTGATAATATTTTGATTTACACTTTTCTGTGCAACTTATACATTGTTAGGGACCCACAAGCAGCTATTTGTATAAATAGTTTAGGAACCAATAAGAACGCCACAGGGAATTTTAGGCTTAATAAAACTCCATTAGTTTTCTACAGGTAGTTTGTTTGTTTGTTGTTAAGTTGTGGGCCATCTGTGCGGTATCCACCACGGGTATCGAAACCCGGTTTTTATGTTTTTCTTTTATACGAATTTATATTTTAACTTCTAATATTTTTAAATAATGTTTTCTTATTTACAATCTGTTTAGGGTTACGTTTCTTGAAATGTTTCATAGAGCAACTAAATTTATCATTGTGAAAAACTGGAACCACTGAACATAAAGGAAAAGTTAATGGTAGCTAGTTTTTTTTTAATTGTACCTACATAAATCAATCAGATAATATAATGTTTGGTAACCATACATACTAGATGCTTGCTTTGTAACAATCGAATAGCGATGTCACGTGCTCAAGGTAAATGTGGAATGTAACATTATAAAATCAAATCACGGAAAATCACGTTTAAATGATAATAAAGTTTGGGTTTGTTTGTTTTTTTTACAATTACAACTTTTCGAATATTTTAAGTTCTGTTTGTTTGGAATTAAGCACAAAGCTACACAAGGGGCTATCTGTGCTCTGCCCACCAACGGGTATCGAAACCCGGTTTCTAGCGTTGTAAGTCCACAAACATACCGCTGTGCCACTGTGGGGGCAATATTTTAAGTGCTTTATTACAGGAACGTATAGTAGTCCCTTACTATAAAATAAACCGTCTTATGATGTACAGGGGCTAAAAGCGATTAAACTGACCTATAAAACTTTACATTAAATCAACTTAACCGTTTATATCTCAATATTGTTTGACATAACCAAACCCCATCGGGGTGAATCCCATGATCCTAGAATCAACGTTAACTTAACCAATCCAACATTCTGAGTTTCAGATGGAAACCTTGAGCTACTTTGTTATGACATATAATCTGCCAGATTATGCCTTCAATAAAAGGCCCCGAAGCTGACTTGTAAGGTACTAAATAGTGTTGTCTTTTTTTTAGTCCTTTTAGATGCATCTTATCGTTGAATGCTAAAAATATTTGGCTGAAGTACGGAAGCACCGATAATAGTAACAAACGCAGACGGTGAAAACTGGGATAAACTATGTGGCACAGAAACACACTTCGGCAGTTCGCAACTTCGTCTGTAAAACAGATAAGACCGGCTGTTCGCTAACAAGGGCTCTATTTAAATTCCCACCAAAACCGTGCCCGAGTTGCTAGAAAGAAAGAAGAAAAAAAAGCGACAATGCTCAAGACCATGTGGATCTGTGTTTTTACATTTGGAACATCAATACGTTTTGTATCTCTTCCCAGCCATTCCAACCTTACTAATCTCATGCTTATCGAATCAGTTTAGATTCATTTGGACATGACAAACTGTATTGTTTAAAACAAACTACATACTTCAAGGAAACTACCATAGCTTAGTTTCCGTTCATTGTTGCACTTTAAATCCATAAAGACGCTTTAAAGCTCTACAGTTTTCTCACTAATTCAGAATTTATTTACGTTTGACGTGACAAGATCTTACAAATATATCAGCTGAGAAACGATATCCATACCAGCCGAGAACTACAGTGTCGTACTATATTAACTCTCATCAGTCCAGACGATATCTATACCAGCCGAGAACTACAATGTCGTGCTATATTAACTCTCATCAGTTCAGACGATATCCATACCAGCCGAGAACTACAGTGTCGTGCTACATTAACTCTCATCAGTTCAGACGATATCCATACCAGCCGAGAACTACAGTATCGTGCTATATTAACTCTCATCAGATCAGACGATATCTATACCAGCCGAGAACTACAATGTCGTGCTATATTAACTCTCATCAGTTCAGACGATATCCATACCAGCTTCCAGACGATATCTATACTAGCCGAGAACTACAGTGTCGTGCTACTATGGATATCGTCTGGACTGATGAGAGTTAATCCAGCCGAGAACTACAGTGTCGTGCTACATTAACTCTCATCAGTTCAGACTATAGGTCTATGAACGAGAATGTCACCCATTGGATCTTTACTTTTCTTTAGAAGTAAACTTATCCAAGTTTCCATCACTTTATACTACTCGTTAACTACGGTGCAATGACATACTATACTCCTTAATACCAGTTCTCACTGATCAACGTCCCGATATCTAAGACGGGTTAACACTGATCAACGTCCCGATATCTAAGACGGGTTAACACTGATCAACGTCCCGATATCTAAGACGGGCTAACACTGATCAACGTCCCGATATCTAAGACGGGCTAACACTGATCAACGCCCCGATATCTAAGACGGGCTAAAAAAAGGGAGACGTGCGTGTATTTAAGAGCAAAGCTACACAATAGGCTCTCTATGTTGTTGTCCACTGCGGAGATCGAACTACGAATTTTAGCAATATAAGCTCTCAAGCTTATGTTGAGCTACCGGGGGACAGAATGTACTTGATAAATTTATATTAATTTTGTGGGCGTTTCTAGATTCTGAAACGTTTCGGGTTCCATGTGAAGCTTCTTCAGACTTAAAAAAGGTATCTGCATGGATTCCGAAGTGTTGTCTAACTACAAAAAAGGAGGACAAGGTTTTAAAAAATCACTATGATCAACAGATATCCCGCAGCTCATCAATAACGAACATATTTTCAGACAATTACAAGTGTTTTTAAAACAGTAAAGAGCAACACTGCTCCGAGCGAATCACAGCTCATAAAAAGCAACACTGCTCCGAGTGAATCACAGCTCATAAAGAGCAACACTGCTCCGAGTGAATCACGGCTCATAAAAAGCAACACTGCTCCAGATGAATCACGGCTCATAAAGAGCAACACTGCTCCGAGTGAATCACGGCTCATAAAGAGCAACACTGCTCCGAGTGAATCACGGCTCATAAAGAGCAACACTGCTCCGAGTGAATCACAGCTCATACAGAGCAACACTGCTCCGAGTGAATCACGGCTCATACAGAGCAACACTGCTCCGAGTGAATCATGGCTCATACAGAGCAACACTGCTCCGAGTGAATCACAAGTACTTTGCTACTAATACAATCAAAGCAGGATAAAAACAATTCCGTTTTTAGAACACAGTTTTATTTTTTACTGTTAATCGCTGGGTTCGGGCGATTAATTCATACTAAAAATTCGCAACAACAATAATAATAATCCATCCTCAAATACTGGTTTATTTGATATGTTTTTCCCCCAATCGTGCACTCTCTCTCTTTTTTCACTAATCACATCGAAACATTATATATATATATGGATTCTTGAAAAGGCTGTCATGCCTTTTTTTTGTAGCTTTGAAATAAAGATGTTCATTTGCAATAAATCAGGTGTACGTTTTATTACAACATTATTACTGCAATCTTATATAAGTGTAAACTTTAACTTTTTTAATTACTGAAATACTAAAAAACTAATCTATATTCAAGACACAGAGTCATTTTCGATTATGCTAATGAAATTATATTATCGGTGTCTGACTATAATCTAAGAACGTAATTAGTTTCTACATAATTTGGTAGTCTCTAATTTCATAAGCTTTTGTTTGTTTATTGTTATGTACAAAGCTACACAATAGGCTGGCTACCTGTGCTCTTAGGCCAGGCATGGCCAGGTGGTTAGGGCGCTCGACTCGCAATCTGCGGGTTCGAATCCCCGTCCCACCAAACATGCTCGCCCTTTCAGCCGTGGGGGCGTTATAATGTTACGGTCAATCCCACTATTCGTCGGTAAAAAGAGTAGCCCAAGAGTTGGGGTGGGTGGTGATGACTAGCTGCCTTCCCTCTAGTATTACACTGCTAAATTAGGGACGGCTAGCGCAGATAGCCCTCGTGTAGCTTTGCGCGATATTAAAAACAAACAAACAATCTGGCCTCTTCTCACCACAGGTTATCGAAACATAAGTTTTAGAGTTTTAAGCCCCCAGATTTGCTTTTAAACCAGCGCGGAAAGCAGTTGGTACGTTAAGGCTTAATGCTACTTAATAAAAATTAACGTAACAGTTAAAGATTTATAGTTTTGGACATAATAAATCGAGTAGAAAAATTAATACCCATAAAACATTTTTCCAAGGTGATTTAGTTTAGCTATCTCTGCGTGGTTAATTGATTTTATTAATTCGAACAACCATATTAGATGTAGAACTTTTAATAGAATGAAACATGCTGTATATTGATGAAATGATGTACAATACACAAGTCTCGTTTAGAAGCTCAAATCTTCTAGCATTCTTCATATACATCTATGTAGCAAAACAGGCAACAGTAATTTAAAATAATTCAAAATTTATAATATTAAAACAATTTCATTTAGTAAATCTCCAATCCATCGTTAATTAGGCTTAGGGTTTAGGCATTTAGGCAATACAGTACTAATGTTAAAAGGTAAGTTTACAAAGTCTATTGTGTCATTTAAAGCATAACGTGTTTTTTCGCATAACACAATGGGTCAAGTAGAAATATTAGAAAAAAAATAACAGAAAAAGTACACCTACCCGTTTTTCTAAGCGGGAAGTCGTCGTCATACTTGCCAAGCAAGGGATGCCTACAACGAAGAAAAATAAAAGTGAGTATGAGGTTAGTTAGAACCTGACAATATACAGTAATGTCGAGAGACGAGAGTATTGCAGACATGTATTGCAATTTAGTTAGCAAGGAAAACATCCGATTATATTACATAATTCGTTTCACCAGAGGTAAAAATGAAAACGTAATCTGTGACGTTGAGGCCTAATGCATCCTTTGATTTCACGCTATGACTGCAGATCCGCCTATTAAACTTTAAAGGCTAATCAGCATAGGTTGAGCCAGACGATTAAGGAAATACAGTAAGGTCTCCTATGATCGTGATGTAAATATAATATTTATGGTTTTTTTAAAGTACTTTTGATTGTTTTTTTAACGTCAGCGCAACGAACGTCCATAAAGTATTTTCCTCTCCGTTTCAATATAATAACGAATCACAACTAAACTTCAGTTCGTTCTTTTATCAGACTACCGCACCATGCATCGAAATAAAATAAAATAATGCCCGGCATGGCCACCAGGTGATTAGGGCGCTCGACTCGCAATCTGTGGGTCGCACGTTCGAATCCCCGTCACACCAAACATGCTTGCCCTTTCAGCCGTGGAGGCGTTATAATGTGACGGTCAATCCCACTATTCGTTGATAAAAGAGTAGCCCAAGAGTTGGTGGTGGGTGGTGATGACTAGCTGCCTTCCCTCTAGTCTTACACTGCTAAATTAGGGACGGATAGCGCAGATAGCCCTCGAGTAGCTTTGCGCGAAATTCAAAAACAAAACAAAACTTAATAAAATAATTTATGTGTGTGTGTCTATATACATATTATATAGATAAATTTAACGTTTGAACTGTATGTATAGATAGTAACTGGTCTGTTCATGAAAGGATCAGAAATTAGAAATTATTAATTATGAACAACAATCATAGTCAGTGACTACTACAAAAATATTCGCTAACTCTTTGGGAGGGCTCTACCTTTTTTCTTCTTTTTTTTGTGGGGGAGGGCAAGTTATAGCTTGATTAGATTGTTCTTTAATCCAGCTGTGTGGATTACAAGAATATTTGTCAATTCTGGTGTGGATTACAAAAATATTTGTCAATTCTGGTGTAAAAATAAGAATGTTTGTCAATTCTGGGTTTAGATTATTCATTAAAAGATCAATTAAGTCTAATGTAATTTTAGATTTTAATTATTAAACCCGTTAACTTTAGAGTAAGGTTGCTCCACGTTTAATAATCTGTCATTTCTGAATTAGTTTTTGTTCCATGTTTAAAAATTAGTTTATGTATTTTTGGTATAGTTATTTCTTTATATTATATATGGCCAGGTGGTTAGGACGCTCGATTCGCAATCTGAGGGTCGCACCAAACATGCTCGCCCTCTGAGCCGTGGGGGCGTTATACAATACATTCATGGCCCCAAAGTGCGGAACGTATTTCTGTGGCAATTAGATGCGAATCATCAAGCACAATAACTTACAGGCCACGCTCGACTTCTACTAGAAGTTATTTCTGATGTGTGTGATTCTGTATGTCAGAAAATTAGGTAATTTTGGTGGAAATTTTATTTAATGTTAGGAAATTACTTTATTCTGGTGTTTTATCTATCACAAAAACATTTGATTTTGGAATACTTTTATTTTGTACAAAAAACAAATCAGTTAACACTAAGGCTGTGTAGCCAGGGATTCGAAGATAGTTCTAAACATTTGATGCTTCATTCAGGTAGCGTCAGACTTTTTTTTTTTTTGCTTTGCTTTTTCCTTTTGACAATATTTGAATGGTAATCACGGATTAAATTTGATCACGTGGAAAATTCGATCTTCCGATTTCTATTAAAGTAGCTGTGTTATAGTGCAGTAGTATTTGACGGTTTGCATACCAGTAAGGAAAACAAAATGGCGGTATAACTTATACAAAATGGCGGTATAACATATACAAAATGGCGGTATAACATATACAAAATGGCGGTATAACTTATACAAAATGGCGGTATAACTTATGGTACGTGGCATCAAATGCGTATGAATAAATAAAAAAAACGTGCCTTTATTAAAATTCGAAACATAAAATTATGATAACTGTTCTATATACAATTTCATTTATATGGATTACGTGTAAGATAAATATTTTTAATGACATATTTTTAGGAATGTTATTATCATATTTACAAGTATTGTTATGAAATAAAGATTTAATCATTCATGGTATCTGAGGGTAATGTATATACATGTATACTATATATGTATGTGTGTGTGTGTGTTTATAAAGTTGTGCCACCCCAAGCATGAATTTCATACTGTTAAAGTACGTCAGTTGAAAATAATCGTTTATAGTAACTGTTTATCACTCTATATAAACATTTCTAATCCATTTTTTTATTTTTAGTCACATCACTGCATAACCTGGGAAACCTACCAGTTGCAGAAGTTTGGAGGAGAATTGTTAGCACTACTAGAGGCCGTCTCTCTCTGTCTCTTGCTGAGAACAAACTCCTGAAGTCGTTGTTTAACTTCCGATGATGCTACAGCACCTGCAGTAATAATATAATTACACTATACATAATTATAGGTAAGTACAAGTTGATAGAGAGATAGACAGAGAAATATGTTGATAGAGAGATAAACATTTGAAACAAGTGGATGATACAGAAACGGGTATTTTTATGACAAAAAAAAAGTTGATTTATTTATAATATTACTTTGTTCATGTTTCTCCTTTTTTTTCAAAGCGTCAAGTTTTTCCTTCTCTCTTCTCTCTTTCTCCAGCTTCTGTTTCTCATTCCTCTTCTGATGCTCCAAATATTCCTGGAAAATAAAATATCAAAATCATCACACAAGCACAAAACAAGTCTGTAGGACAGCCATGAGCTAGGTACCATAACAAAATCTGTCACGTTTCCACACAAACAAACCTGTAGGACAGCAATCAGATAGTTACCATCAAACAGTCTGTCATGTTTCCACACAAACAAACCTGTAGGACAACAATCAGATAGTTACAATCAAACAATCTGTCACGTTTCCACACAAACAAACCTGTATGACAACAATCAGATAGTTACCATCAAACAATCTGTCACGTTTCCACACAAACAAACCTGTAGGACATCCATCAGCTAGGTACCATCAAACAATCTGTCACGTTTCCACACAAACAAACCTGTAGGACAACAATCAGATAGGTACCATCAAACAATCTGTCACGTTTCCACACAAACAAACCTGTAGGACAACAATCAGATAGTTACCATCAAACAATCTGTCACGTTTCCACACAAACAAACCTGTAGGACAGCAATCAGATA